TGAAAAACATGTTCTTTTCCATCCCAATAACTGACCTGGAAGGAATACTGAATATGTATATTGATGGCATCATGTACAGGTGGACAGTCTGTCCACAGGGATATCGCAACGCTCCATCGCTAGCCACTGGTACCATGAATAACATCCTAAAGAATTTTCAAGCTTCATACTCTCTTCCCCCAGAGAAAGAATTGAAGATTTGGAGTTATGTCTATGATATTGCCATCATGGGTTGCGATAGTTCCGTAGTTACTAGTGTAGTCAATCAACTAGTTGCTCATCTTCAGAGTGAGGGATGGACAATCAACATGGAAAAGTCGTGTTTGAATCCCGTAGATGACATTACTTTCCTGGGTACTCGATACACTGGTTCCATCCATCATGGAGCCTCGCATGAGGGCCCTAACATCGATCCGTTGAAAACACTCCGCCCTGTCACTAAGAGGCACTTCCAACAGCTTTTGGGTCATTTAAATTGGTATCGACATTATGTTGGACCCAGTGATTTGGCACTCCTCACCAAGTTGCAGTGACAGATTCGTGACAAATCCCGAAAGTCCACGTCCTGGACGAAAAGAGATCAGCAGAATCTGCTTCGCCTGCTAACTACGGTTAAAGATACACAGCTCCTATGCCATCGATCTGAGTGAGTCACTAACCGTAACCCTTGGGTTCACCACAAATCACGTGTGGGCTGTCGTGCACAATCCTCGCGATGAGCTAGTATACACGGCCCATAAAACGCTTCAAGCGGCACAACATTGATATGGGACCATAGGAAAAATCCTCCTAACCGAACAACTGGTGGAGCCATTAGCAAGGGGGCATGGGACGTTACGCGCTCCCGGTGCCACATTGTTACCCTTGCTGGATGCGGGAAAAATCGACCCACATTTTCAAGGGGAGGCTAAGACCTGGAATACGTTAGTGCTTACCCACCATTATAATTGGCATTGCTGGAAATTGGAAGACACGGTACCTGATCCAAGCCCAAAAGCTGAGGAGAAGGTCCCTACATTGTATGGAACTTCTGCCCCAGCGTGGATGGCCTCAGATGGAACCTCCTGACATGACAGAGTCTATGGGTACTATTGCAAGGCTTGTCATGATAAGGAAATATTCCAAGCCGACCCAGATGATAATTCACCCCAAAATTGTGAATTGTTGGGGTTCCTCAAGGTACTGGAGCATTGTCTGACACATCATGATGATACGCTCCCTGTTCCAATCATCGCAATTGATTCCCAATACATTTATAAAATTCTTACTGGTACAGCCTTTCCCACCGAAAATTTGAATGATTGGCAAGACATCTGGAAGATGTTAACTAAATTTGTACGCCTCCCGTTGGTGAAGCATACTAAGTCCCACCGTCCGGATACTGATCCAGTACATCAGGTCATTAATAAGCTTTTAGAAGATCCATTCCGGACTGACATAGTCTTGCCTATCACATCTACCTCTGGTCCTGAAGTAAATCCATTCCTAGCATGGTTTCACGAAAATTGGGGTCACCCAGGATGAAGAGTTTGCCACAAACGTTGGTCCCGAACCATTATGGAGCTGGCTTCCTACGGAGC